CCAAGCTATTCATTTATATATCAATTAGTCATCCAGCTGTACAGTTTTTTGACTCAAGCTGCTAAACAAAGCGGCAAACCGACAGAGCTGTCCACAATCTGGATTCTAACCGCACAAACTCCCCCAGCATGGGCGAATAAACAGAAGGATGACATTGATGCGGCGGGCCGGGTGTGAGCAGAGCGGGCACCCCGTTCCACCAATGACAAGCGTGTGTCGTGCACTTTTTGACCATTGGTTGTCTGACTGGGCGATGCATAAGATGAAAGGCCCATGCTTGCGAGCATCATTAGATGGACGCGATGTACTGCTGCTGCTGGCTTCGGCAACGGCTTGCTGGTTCTGCTGATCATTCCACGGAGGCTTGCCTGACGGTATCGTCTTATTTATGCCACCATAGTTTGAATTCTTTACCTCCACCTACATATACTATTTCAAATATCACGCATTTGAAATAGGCTAGACTGCGTATTCCCAATTTTCTTGACGCGGTGTCAGTACACTGATAAAAGCATAACTTGTAGCCGTCATAATTCAATGTCCATCTGGGTGTCGAGAAAATATTGTCGGTTTTTTGAAGGGGTTAGTTGTACTTTGGGATGAATCGAAATATATGTGAGATGACTATTTAGGGAAACAGGCAAAATTTTTTGCTTCTTACAATGTTCAACATTTGGAATGATGTCGGTGGGTGTAAGGTCTCTGAGGGACAACGGTGAACTGGTTCCATTCCGCTGACAGTTGCATCCTTTACCCCCATAGCCATACCACGGCGTCAGCGCTCCTGCTCGGACCGCGGGGCTCAAGCGTTACAGTGACGAGACGGATTTCGACGCCTGTTGCCTACAGCATGGCCTCTCACAAGGTGAGACATCACTGACGTGTCGATGAGTTTTCCCAGTCTTTCTGTTCTGTAGCGTTTAGTTATCTCTAAAGTGGCTTTTACATCGCACGAGTCTTGACATGGATTTGTTGGAGTTGCACAGAATGAGAAGTTGTACATGGTCAAGCGTACCGTTGAAACAAGTGTATTTCGACCACATAAGCTTCCTCGGGGACCATGTGATAAATGCACCATTTTGCGTAATTAGTGCAATTTATGGGTTCAGCTGCGAATTGTGGACCGCATCAAAGGGAAATTTTCCTTTGGAATGGTGCTGAAGGCTAGACAATGTTCTACAGCGGGTGAATCCCATGCATCAATGCCTCACCGAAGGTGAAGCCAATACGTTGGTTGTGTGTTTACCGTTCCCTTTGCGTATTACAGCAATGACTCCGCCCCCCGAAGAGATGCAGTTCTACAACAACCAGTTTTGCCACCATCAGCAACAGCAACTGCATCAACAACAGAAAGAGCGAGCAGTTTTTTTGCATGTCACCCTCTATCACTCCAGTCGTGGGTTAGGATTTGCCATCCGCCGAGGTCACGAGTGCAACCAGATGCCTTTCACTATCTCTCGAGTGGTTGATGGTGGACCCGCTCATCTCGACGGTCAACTCAAGGTACTCACACACACATACACACACACTGTGGGCGCGTGTGAGTTGCAGACTTCTATTTGCTAACTAACACCGTTTACCCCTCGTACACACGGTTAGGAAGAGTGCCGTTGAGATATGGATGCCTGATACTTCATTACTGGCGATATGGAAGAACCTGAATGCAGGAGGTTGAAATGCGAGATACTTGTAGACACGTTGAGCCACTACTATTACTGATCCAATACTCTTCTATCGTTAGAAAAAGAGGTTGGGAAATAATACTCTTATGGGATGTAAGGCTTTGAAACTGGGAGCTTGGGGCTAAAGAGCTTGAAGATGGCAACCCAAAACTTGTAGTTGGTGTTTCAGAGACTTGGAGAATTTCAAACAACTCATTTCAAATTGTTGTGTGAAGGTGTACGGGTGATGGCAATGTTTAAGCAATCTAGGTTCCAAATGTCTCTTATCATAGATTCTACCCTCTGCCGCTTTCTTCCTTCGGTAGATTAAAGGCCTTTGCTGGTCAGTCACGCTTTTGTATTTGGAAATGGACTTGCAACAATCCGGCAGGTTAAAGGTCGGTTTTCATCTTCCTTTGGCTGCCAATTCGTCTCAATGCTGCCGTGGACTTGGTAAGGTTAATGCAGAGTAATTGTTGGCCGAATTCAAAACTGATGCAATGGGAATTGTATTCCAACGTCTCGACTATTGAACCGATCGTTCTTCCCGTGGGACGAATAATGGCAAACTTGCCCTGCAATGGGTGATTCGCACTGTATACGACGGTGAAGTAGGCAACTTGTTCATCGGTATCCTAGGTAGGCGACGAGTTGCTGCAGATCAATGGTTTCAAGACGGCGGGAATGTCGTTTCATCGTGTGATGGAGATAATCCGGGCGGGTGGCAAATTTGTCCGCCTCGGCGTACGCCGCTCCCTCCTGCCCACTGGCGAGGTGAGGAATTTCGCTGCGCTGTCGTCGCCGCCGCCTCTACCTGCGCTCTCCTCCGCACGCTACTCTCCACTGCCGCTCATACCGTCTTCAGCCCCCGTGGTGGAGCCGCAGCCACCACCGGCGACTCCGCTACCACCGCCATATCTCCGCTCACTGGAGTTATTTACGCCTTCATCCATGCACAATTCATCCATTGGATCCCCTCCTCTACTCTCCTCCGGTAAGTGGCGACTCTCCTTATACCGCTTCTGCAATGCAATATTGTGGATATTTCTCATGGTAAACTCAGTCTTGCACTGCATCAACCGTTAGCGCTTAGGAGTGTTGTGACTGAAACGCCTTTATTGCCCATTTTCGCAGTTTAGTAATGTGGTATTTCCCCATATCTCTCTCCTCATCTCTCCACCTCCCACCATCACTGAAATATAACCGTTACTCTTTCTTCTTTCTTGATGAGAAAAAACAAGAACAGATCATCTATTTATGCTGCGTACTTTCGTTATGCAGATATCGGCTGTTCAATCTGCGAAGGTTTACACTGCTGGAGTTGTGGCGTGATGCAGACAGGGACTCTGTCAGAGGCGCCCTGTCCATTTACGGATGGTGCTGAAAAGAGCTCGAATGAAGCCAGTGACTGCACCCAACTGTGACGCGGTGTCGGTATAACTCAGTTTCAGAAGAGAGACGGCCACCTTGGGTCTTCGCCGGTGAGAAACTTTACTGAGTGGACATAGCCATGGACATGTTTTTCCAATGACTTGCAGGAAGTTGATGTTGTACGCGACTTTGGCATAACACAGTGCTGCTTTGCCATTCCTCCCTCTGTGCTTCTACACCCACCCATCCATTCATCCATCCAATGTGTATATCAATACATGTGCCGCCCGAGCATAATGTCTTCTTTCGTCTACAGAGTAGCCTCGTAGCCCTGCATTGGTGGCAGGGGGAAGCGAAGCCGCCCGTTTTAGGGGGACGCGCCTGTGATCGCCTAGATGAGGTAGCGCTACAAAGGCCGCACCATCGTCGGATGCGTTGCTAAGTACCACAGTACTGAGGCTCGGGGTGAAGAACGTGACATGAGTGTCACTTACTGACGTAGACTGCCAATAAGTTGACGCAAGACTTGCATTAGGCCGCAATGTCTGTGTAGGATGCGGATGAGGGCAGTGGTTGTGGCTAATGGGGCATCCCGGGCGACAGCGCATACATTCCAGGGTCACAGCTCACGCCGCAGTTGGAGTGAAACAGAGACGTGGAGAAGAGCTAGGGAGGTCGTGCGTTAGACAAGTAGACCGAGAGACGGATGAGTGGGTGGGTCGGTAGACGGAGAGATGAACAGCCAGGCCTATAGGTCAATAAAGAGCCATAACGAAGCACGTTTCCCAACCACTGCATGCCTGCCTGGCCGCCCGTATGCCCACCTAAACCCTTACTGGCCAAGTAGCCAAACAACCGCACTGGCCAAAAGTGTGTAAATAAATAAATAAACAAACAAACAAACCCTAATGCTTGCCAGCGTATGAAAATGTGAACGGGATTAAAACCGAAGCAATCTCTCTCGCCGCAACTCATCGATCAACTCGCATGCCAAGAAACCTTCTTCTTCTTCTGCTGATAACAACAGATGCATACGGTTCGATCCGTCACACGAAGAGCACTAAACACAGTCATACTCACACAAACGAGTGTCACTTGTGCACTCGCTGCTCCTTCCTCTACCAACAGCATCACGTAAGCTGACAAAGGAACTGACAAAATTGCCCGGCATACAGTCGCACCACACCTAAATTACCAAACACGTTACAAGAAGAGGAGGAAGGATTGTTTGGAGGTAAGAAATATATTTCAACAAAGACAGTTACAAAGGTTTTGACGCAACTTGCCGCATCACAATCAATCAACGTCTAGTGTGCTTCATTCAACAGTGACAGTAGCTCCATCATAGTTCGAATTAAAGATCCCAACAACGCCAACAACACCAACAACAAATCCCACTCGTAACCATTGAAAATACTACGCACACGCACTGCAACCAGTTGCACAACCTTTCCCCATTCACTAGCCAGGACAAAAACAATGCTGCAAGTACTGGGCAAACACAAGCCAGTTATTCCTTTCACCGAAAAAATGAACACAAGTGGCATGGTGCATTACAAAAATCCACTAACTCAGTCGATGTCACGAATGAATGCGAATGAGCACAAAAATCAGGACTGCCAACATTTAACAAATACCAGTGCTGCATGACAGCGCCTAGCCAACCATCAGTGGCAGCAAACCATCGTCAGTCAGCATTTACAGAGACAAACGAGTGGACGACGTAAGAAACGAGGAGGTAGGAAGTGGAGCCAACGAAGGTACAGTTAGTCGCAGGTCACCCGTGTACCATTTCCACACCATGAATCGCTAATATCTGCCGCATACACAAAAAACTACACCTAACAGCCAGAAGGCATACATCATCAAAGTAAATAATCTTAAAACATGTAATATGCAATGCACTGTAGATGTACATACATATATCACTGTGGACAATTGATTTGGCAGACTCGAAGACAATACAGGCAACATGCTACATTGCTTGCGCGCATTGGTCTCCGTTTCCTGTGATAGATTTCCACGTGCGACACCTGTACCAACAAATTCCAACCTGAAAAACATTCCCGTACCTGTGAAAACGGAATGAAATGTTGACAAACGACCTCAATCACGGTGAAGTTATGCGATAATCTTACCAGTCAAATCAACGGATTAACACTTAATCTACTGTTAGCCCAAATGACACGTTTGTGTTTGTTGAAATCGCGACTGTTGAGGTTGCAGGAGACGCCATTCAGCTCACTGACGAAGAATAGTATACTGAAGTTCCTTTTTGGAACGATACTGAAGCTGTTTCCACGTCCGCAAATCACACCACACCCTACAAAAGTGGATAGCATGACAAATTATATGATACGACCGTCACGAAATAGCTGGGAAAAGACTTTGGGAAGAATGGTAATTGTGATCTCGCGTCAAAAATACGTAGATTGCAACAGTTAAGGCACAAAAGGTATAACAATTACTCACGAATTGAAAGGCATTCTTACCTGGGAACAGAACAGGCTAACAACATAGCTCAA